AATAGCTAAAGGTTAAAATACTTCTTCATTTTATATATATATATATATATATATATATACTCAACTCTCCCGTCGAATTCGACATATGAGGGTCAAGCAGATCAGTTCCCAAGAAACTGACAGCCCGACAACAGTACATGAGATTTGATTATAGTGGTGAAAGCTTTCTGCATAACCATCCACACTTTTTGAAGGGCCAAATACAGAGACCTGGTGCACTAAGTGCCACAAGGTCCCCAAACGACCCTCCACAGGTTTTGAATTCAGAGTTGTCCTTCTCTTAGACCAGTTGCCATCCAATGCTATAGAACCCAGTCTGTCCTGCTATTTACCCATAGCTGGAGGGAGAAGAGGATTCACACCTTTTCCAAGGGTATTAGCATGTATGTATGTATGTTTGTGGCTTGGATTGAGTAACCAGAGAGCTGAGTTCAAATTACAATTGAATCTATTACATTCACTCACATGCTAATACCCTTGGGAAAGGTATGAATCCTCTTCTTCCTCCAGCTATGGGTAAATAGCAGAACAGACTTGGTTCTATAGCCTTGGATGGCAACTAGTCTAGGAGAAGGATAACTCTGAAAATATTCCCAAACAAACTGCAGAGTGTTGTTTGGGGACCTTGTGGCACATAGTGCACCAGGTCTCTGTATTCAGCCCTTCAAAAAGTGTGGATGGTTATGCAGAAAGCTTTCACCACTATAATCAAATCATATGTGCTGTTGTCTGTGCAGTCAGTTCCTAGGAAGTGAGCTACTTGACCCTCGTACGTCAAATACGATGAGAGAGTCCACCATATATGTGTGTATGTGTGTGTGTGCATGCATGTATGTATGTATGTACTTTCTAGATTCTTGCAAAACACTATTACTTAATGATCCCTGGATCTATTGAACTTTTTCACTGAGTTGTTTAATATCTATGCAATTTGCAGATAGTAAATTAAACACAATTTTTATCTTTTAATAACTTTAGAATATTAATATTTGCCTTAACTAGTGATCAACAATTTTATGTTGTATGCTACTTTGTCATGTATACTGTAAGAAAACTTTCAAGATTTTTTTAAAATCTTAATGGTTCCCTACTTTGAAAGGAAAAATGTTTTTTTCTATTTTTTAATTGAATTTTATTCTTTGAAATACTTTGCCCTGAGCTCAAAATTTTATCAACCATTTTTATTTTATTTGTTTCATTTATTTATTTTAACAATGATCAAATATTAAGTTCAAAAAATATTTTGTTTCTTTTTTTTTTTTTTAACCCTTTGGCAACCTTTCTATAAATAAAATCCAGAAAGCAGTTTACTGAAAATAAAATGCAAGATTATTTGCTTCTGTAACAAAGTCATTGTATTTGCCAAAAAGTTTGTTCTGTCTTGTCATTAAATGGCATTAGGTGTGTTTAGTTTTAACTAATGTGATTAGAAAATGCTTTTTGGATGGCTGTCATATCAGCATGCATCTTTTTTTCAAAAAAAAATGTCAAAAATAGTGTTATTTTTTGTTTACTGATTGTAAAATTAAAGCTAGAAGAAATTTTTTTTTATATATTACGTTTTTTTTTATTTTAAGGAAGATAAAGATACAAAAATATTTGTGTAATTTATGGAGCAGGTACTACAAATGACTGAATATGTCAAGAATCATTTGCAAAAATATTTTCTTAAGATTTCTTGCTGCATCATGCTAATAAACAACATTTTTTATATATTGTGATTGTTTAAGAAGGACAAAAATGGAAAAAAAGTGAAATTTATGAAAAAGGCACTGAAAATGATTGAATGTATAAAAAATACTTCGTTGGAGCTTTGTTGTTGTATGATGGTCTATGATTAAACAACTTGAGGTAAATCAAAGTATTACTTAAAAATAAACATTGTACAATGTGTGAGATCTCCAAAACAAGCATTGAAAATCATTTGCCACAGCTTGGTTATGTTAGTCACTTTCATGTGTGGCTTCCCTATAAGTTAAACAGAAAATCTACTGGATTATATTTAAATATTCTGAAACAAATTTGAGGTTGATGAAAAGTGGCTGCTTTACAATAATGAAAAAAAGAGCCATGAAAGATGAATCTCTACTAACTATATCTAAAGCCAGTCTTTATCCAAAGGTGATACTATGTGTTTGGCAAGATTAGAATAGTTTCCTCTACTATCAGTTCTATTTATAGAATCAAAAGATTGATTCAAATAAGTACTGATCCTAATTAACCAATTAAATAATAATATATGTAGTAAACCAAGGAAATATTTTGGTTAACATCAACTCATTATCTAATTGTCTTTTAAATTTTTAACTTGTTTCTATGTTTATGAAACAGATTTTACAAAAAATACTTATCAACAAGCTTAATTTAATCTGGTACAAAGACAAAATGGTAAATAGAAAGTTTGTGTTGTACAAATATTCCACATGTGAGAGGTCTACTTGCCTTGAAAAATCAACATTTGAAATGTTTATTTATCTAACTAATCATTAGTGCCAGTGGAAAATATACACTTTTGACAGACACAGAGCAGAGATTTACTCAGTTTGGAATAGTCTGCCACAAGGCTTCAAGAGTGAGTCACCTACTGTAGATTTAAATAACATTACATGAATGGTTTGTTAGACTAGATAACTAAACATCACATTTTGGAAGGCACCCTAGAAAAAATGCTTATGTATCTAACCTTGTTTTTCTGGAAAAAAATATATGGGGTTGGGGCTGGTCCAGACAGACGTTATTTTCTTTTCTTATTCTTTTTTTCTTGTTTAAATTGTTACAATTCTTTACCTTTCATCTTTCTTCTTTTTTTTTCTTTCTTTTTTTGAAGGAGTTTGTAGCCTCTAAAATCAATTTAATGATTTGTAAAAACTTTTGCATGTAAGGAGGGGCAGTAGTCAGAGGTCATGCAGTTTAAGTAGACAGAGGTGGAAAAAAACTATTGACGCCAGAACTTGTGTGAAGCTGCCTCCAAACAGCTGAAATAGATATCTGAATTTTTACATTTTTATTCAGCGTCTGTCTATTCAAGTTTATTGGTTTGTCATTTTGTCATTCTTTTTCCTTCCTCTGTCAGTTTACTCTCTTTTGCTTTGATGTTAGCCTTCATACCTGCCATATTTTTTCTCCTTTTATTATCATTCTTAGGAGTTTTTGTTTTGTTTGTTTGTTGTTTTTTTTTTTTTTTTTTTTTTTTACTGTTTGCTTGTTTGTGGGAAGGTCCAGTGGAAAGAATGTCATTAGTTATTTTTGGTTAGTTTGATCAAAAAGAAAAATGACATCAGTTCTCACATTTTTTTTTCTTTCTTTCTTTCCAGTATAGTGTATTCTCCAATGGGATTTTATCCAATGGCTACAAATTGTAAATTTGTGTTCAGGTTCTCATGAATGAAAATAAATATTTGAGAAGAAATGTGTTGATAAAGTGAAGCAGTACTTGGGAGATGTGACTAGATTGGAATATATTGCTGATGAATAAATAGATGTGAACAGTAAAGAAAGAGAAAAAGATGAGAGAAAAAGAAAATAGGTGAAGAGAGAGAGAGAAAAAGAAAATAGGTGAAGAGAGAGAGAAAGAAAATAGGTGAAAAGAGAGAGAAAGAAAATAGGTGAAGAGAGAGAGAGAAAGAGAGAGAGAGAAAGAAAATAGGTGAAGAGAGAGAAAAAGAAAATAGGTGAAGAGAGAGAGAGAAAGGAAATAGGTGGAGGGAGAGAGAGAAAGGAAATAGGTGGAGGGAGAGAGAGAAAGGAAATAGGTGAAGGGAGAGAGAGAAAGAAAATAGGTGAAGGGAGAGAGAGAAAGAAAATAGGTGAAGGGAGAGAGAAAGAAAATAGGTGAAGGGAGAGAAAAAGATGAGTGAGGGAGGGAGACAACAGATGAAGAGTGAAAAAAGAAAGAGGTAAAGAGAAAAAATAAAGACAGGTGAGAGGGAGAAAAAGATGAATAAAAGAGAGAAAAGAAAGAGAAAAGACAAACAGATAAAGAGAGAGAAAATGAAAAAAAAGAAACAAACAAACAAAAAATACAGACATAAAAAGAGAATTTAAAGAAAAATAAAGAAAACAAGAAAAGAATTAAGAGATATCAAGGAGATTGATAAATAAATAAAAAGAAGGTGGAGAAGATAGTGATTGTAAAAGAAAGGAAAAGGAAGATAAAAGAAGGAAAGGATAACAAAAAAAACCCAGAAAACAAAACAAAATCTCACTGGTGGTGGAATAGAAAAGGGAGATAATAAAAGTGAATGCCAAAGTGGTTAAATTATAGCTGGCAGTTGTATGCATTACTGAAAGATAAAATAAATCAAAAATCTAACCATACATTTGAGAAATTCTTCAAGTGGTTCCTCTACCAAATATTCAACTACAGTGGTAATGTTATCTGAAACTTTCAGTTCAACATACCAAACGAGAAAAAGTAATTCATGTAATCATACAGTAATTTTTTTTTTGTTATAAGTTTGCTCCTTTACAATCAACATTATTTCTCCTGCACCTCATTTTATTCTTTTATATATATTTAGTGCATTTTGTATTTAAAACACAGGGTTGCTACTAAAAATGCATACACACTTTGCAAATAAGAGCTCTGTTTGTTATTTGAAAGTTAATGGAACACTTTCATAAAATGGTAAAATGTAATAAAGTTGAGAAGAAAAGGCATTAGATGTTTAAGTGATCTGTTATTTTATGTGTTCAAAATGTCCTCTGTTAACAGTATGGCATAGCTTGCATTGAGAGACTAAGTTGAAAACAGCAACTACTCTTGTAAGTGTACAATAATCCTCTTTGATTTATTCATGTAATTATGTACGAGTGCATACATAATTAAATTTAAATTTAAACTTTTGTCTGTAATAAGTGGTACTAAACATGTTCAAATTTAACTATTGTCTCCTCTTTGTTTCAACCATTTCCCTGGAATTATTTTATTAAAATATGATATAACATTAGAATAACTATTGAGAAATGTTTATGTAGTAAAATAAAACTCCTCCCTTACCATGAAAAAGGTCAAAGAAACTTTCTTGGTACAATTGATTTTTGAGCCATGAAATATGTGTAAAAAATTTCTGAAGTGAACTTGTAATTACTTTTAGCTATTCCACTGGTAAATTAACTTTAATTAAAATGATGAAGTTGGTCTTTTTTGCCAGAATAAAAATGAAAGTCAATGAAAATGCCACACGAACAATTACTACCAATGAATACCTACCTACACTACATTTTCCATGTTATTACATAGGAACATTGAAAGCTTTATATATATATATATATATAGTTCAAGCATGAAAACCGAGTTTTATATTTACATATGTGCTATCTCTGATAATGAGCACTTTTATCAATATATAGTATACCTTAAAACTATATATATATATATTTAAAAATGAAGAAGAAAGGGTATATATATATATATATATATATATATATATATAGATAGATAGAGAGAGATATTGAACAATAGTACTAAATTAATGAAACAAAATTGGCCAGAATTTGAACTCAATTTACTGATTCAACTTTCCATCCCCAAAACCAGTATGCCACACATGAAATTTCTCACAAAACTTTTCATTAACCTTCAAAACAAAACCATGTGGACTTAAAAACTGAAAAATGAATAAGGTTATTTATCAATGATTTTTCCCTTTTACAGTTGAAATTATACAATTTCTGTTTTTGCTGTTTATGTATAGGAAAAATAATGCTATGGTTCACAGTTATCTGCAATTCTCTGAGTTCTTGGATTGCATAAATATATTTGATATCATCTTCCTCAAGCTATTATCAGTATATTTATATGATGTATTCTAGAATATTACAACAAACCTTCCCATTCAAGCCATCTTATATATATGAAGGTGTGCAGTGGTGTAATTGATAGCAGTTCAGAATGAGAACTTGGAGAACCAAGTTTGAATTCCAGTCAGGTTCATTACTTTCACTTACATGCAAATAACCTTGGGAAATGCATGAATCCATCTCTTCTCAATAGTATGGATAAATGGCAGGACTTGTCCCTATTTGCCTTGGTTGACAACCAGTCTAGGAAAAAGAAACTCTGAATTCAAACCAGCCTGGAGAAGCATGAGCTCCATCAGGATAACTTGCTCAGACACATCATCACCACTGTTATAGCTGCAGTACATGTGGTGCACATATGACCCTAATAGGTTATGGGACTGATGATCATGATGAGAGTATACTGAAAAGTTCTTAGCTCAGTTCACTTTCCAAAACTGGAATATCCAGAATGATCATGGATTTTACTTAAGAGCACTCAGAATTTGCAGCCCTTCAATATTTACATGAAGAGGAGAAATATATTGGAAATACTTTCAAGATCCTTCAATACCCTATTTCATATTCAATGCAAAACAAAAAAGCTCATAAAATATTCCAAAATAGAAAAGCTGTCCTTCCTGACAAACCCAACAAATCAAAAAAATATATTATTCTACCCACTAACTCTATCACAACTACAACTAAAAAGAATTTATCTAAACTCCACCCAGGTCATATTCCTATTTTTTAATATCATCTGCTCCACATGTTCCATTTTTTTGAATTTGTGTACTGACCAACAACTTATATATTTTTTTCTCACCTAATCACACACCAACAGAATGATTGATATTAGACCAGTTTTTCACATCAGTTTCACCATGAGTTGACAGTCTCTGTACCATATGTTAGATCCATAGTTTCTTCAAATTTTGAGTTTTTAAAAACAAAAACTAAATAGAATTGTTATTTCTTAATTTCACTTTTTTATTATTATTTCTCTTCTTTTAATTTTCCTCTTTCCACTCATTACCTCCTTTTTAAAGATCTCCTTAATCTTAGTCATCAGCAGATTATGACTGCTTTCTTATTACATTTCTTTTCCCTTTTACCGTATTCCTCCTCTTTTTAACCTTTTCCTTATTTCAGCTTCTTCTTTACCTTGTCACTTTTTCTTTCCTCTTTGCCATTCTCTTTATTCCCCTTGCTACTTTGCCATTCTCCTTATTTCATTGCACTTCTTCCCACTGCTTCTTTGCTCTCCTCTTTATTCTCCTCTCTTCTCTGACCTTCTCATTATTTTTGTTTCATATCATAACCTCATCTTTGCATCTACTTTACCCTTTTCATTATTTGCCCCTTTTCTCTGCTCTTCTTATTGTCCAAGCTGGTTTGCATTTCTTCTTATACACCTGTTGTTTTGCTCTTTTCTCTTTATTCTCTTCTTTTCCCTTATTCCCCTCTCTTCATTGCCTTTCCCCTTCTTTCCACCACTTCTTTGCTCTCATACTTATTCCCTCCTTTACCTTTCTTCTTTTTCTTTTCTTTGCCCTTCTTATTCTTCTCATCTTTGTTATTCCCCTTTTTTCTTTGCCCCCCTCCTCTTTATCTCCTTCCCACCTCTTCTTTGCTGTCTTACCTATTCCCTTACCTTCTCTTTCTCCCCTTTTCTCTGCTCTTCTCCTTACTCCTCACCTACTTTTTCTTCTCATTATAATTATTGATCATCTGTCCTTTTTTGTGTTTAATAATTTTTTTCTTTTCTATTATTTTTATGATTCTTGCTGATAATCTTTTCTCTTTTCCACTTTATGCTTCTTTTTATTCTCACCAACAAGATATTCTTCCTATTATCATTACCAGTGCTGTATTATTCAGTATCCAAGATTACCAATATTATTATCCATCAACTCATATTCTCCTCTTCCTTTATTTTCCTTATCTCAGCTTTATTACCATCAATATAATCTTTTCCTTTTGGTTTCTCATATCATTAATATTATTGATATATCATTCTCAATGCAGTAATCCCATAAATATCCTCATTTCAAAAGTATTATTATTATACTTCACTGTTTATCATCAACATCAGGATTGTTGTTGACTTCAAAAAAATTCTTTCCAAAACATTTTACTTAGCTTTTCAGAAAAAATAAAATAGAGATTTATTAATTTCTTTGATCAGGCAAATGTTTTGTGAGATGTTTTTGTTTGCCAGGATTTTATTCCTATTTCTATTATTTAAGTAAAAATATCAATTTTTGTTTCTTGTGATATTCTTCTTTTGTTTTAATATTTCAGCACTTTTTTCTTCTATTAGCCTCCTTATAGTGGGTTTTAGCAGTGACACTATGTCAAACAAATTGTCCTTTCCTCCAACAAAGATTTCACTGAAAGTGTGAATATGCCTGAAAGTATAAATGGGTGTATTATATTTACCTCTCTACAAGGGCAAACAGTTACACAAGGTCAATTTAACATGGGGGGGGTGTTCAGCAATTGCCAAGCATGTCTGACTTTTATTATAGATGTCAAATCCTTCTCCATTAGGGCAATAAAGAAATGGTACTAGAAAGACAGGTTTCCAGAAATTAAGCATCATATATTTATTATTGTATTGACTTCCATTTGCAAATGACCAAAATCCCCACCCAAAACAAGGCAATGGCGAGGTTGTAAGATTCCCACCCACCAAATATATTTTTAAAACCTTCTTATATTACTTGAGTTTCTTTACAAGAAATTAATATGTTTGGATTTTATATTTGATTCCTGACAGTTAAATGTTCTTATATTTTTTTATGTATGTGCTTACTTAAGGTTTCTAACTGAAAAAGCAATTCATAAGATCATAATATTATTTTAAGTTTCTTAAATGAAACATTGTCAATAATTAATAATTTCAGTTTAATTTCCATTGCTTTCACTTCTTGTAATAATAGTCTTAAGTTGTCTGAATTTCTTCTTATTATTATTTTATTTCAATTTCTATTGCTTTTTATTGCTACACTCAGATCATCATATGATGAACATGAGTAAGCAGCAGGGATCAGAAATAAAGACTAACTCTCGTGAGACACAAACTTGTATCTCTTATCTTTGGAAGCCTGTCTTTATGTGACAGCTGTCCTACTGATTAGGTCATGAAGGCTACTGGCTGCAGTCATTGAAATATAATTATAGTTATTCGGAATGCTTTATCTACATCCAACTTTATTTTCATATACCAGTAGTATTAGTATTATGATGAAATGAACTTGTTTAATATTGTCAAAATACAGTCTTCAGTCTCCTTCATTTCTCTACTTATTTTTTTTTTTTGTTTTTCTTCCTTACATCCTTCTTGTTGTCTGGCAGCATAAATACGTACCTACATAGATGCAAAATAAGAAGTTTATAGCTTAGAACTATATCTATTTATTGCTGCTGTATAAGTGTTTTCAATTACATATGAAAATATATCTTTCTAAGCATAATATTCAATGTAAATATGCAAGTTTTTATAATACTCATAACATACCCCTGGTAAACCTTTGAATCAATTTGGAAAAGATATTAATTTTTTTATTTTCTTAGATGAAACAGTAATTTTTCATTGAATATTTCTTTCATCTTAATTTCTGTAGATTTTTATTGTATTGTCAGATCATTAAATGACATTGATAATCTGTGTGGATCAAAGATTTACTTTTTATTTCCAATCTCTGTTCACTAATGATAATCTGGGAGCTTGAAAAATTAATAGTAAGGTAACATATTTATTCCAAGTCTGTGTACATACATAGGCACATGGATAATTCTATAAGCTAATAAAAAAAACATTTATTTTATACAATAAGTACTTATTTTTCAACACAATCTTTTCTTTTGTGATTACCACCAAATATAGTGCAATTGAAATCACATAGATTGAATATCACACAGTGAAAATTTCAGATCAAAATTTGGTTAATAACTAAATGTCAGGTAAACAGATTTTTTGATCAAGTTTTCTATTTTATGGTGCATGAAAGTGCAAGAATGGACAAATGTTTATGGATATTTGACTTTATGTACCTGTCTTTTAATATATTTGCCTTGGTGTGTGCGTAATAGTCTATGTCTGTCTAACCATTATTTTTTTGTCTGAAAATATGTGAATTTATATACACAAACACATTTATCTCATATTTGCTTTGTTCTAAATTATTTTTGGTTTTGTTTTGTGCTCTTTCATAAAAAGGAAGAAATGGTCTTTTCAATTTCATTTTTATTTCAGACCCATACTTTTCTTTTTTCCCCTGTTTTCATCTAACTTTTTTCCACTGTCCAATTTCTTGTCATCTCATCAGTAGCCATGTTGATGCTGTTATCATCATGACCAAATATTTTTAGAAAGCAGTCAATAAACTGATAGCTACACTATATTTTATTGATTAAATAATCAATACTTTTGTGTGCTATAGGCTCCTGTTTTTCTGACAGTCTGTCAGTCGGCCGGTCCTCCCACCCACAGTGGAACTGGCAAACACAATCCTGCCTTATCTTTTCCACCATTAACAGATTCCACTTCTCTTTCAAATTCATTCTCAGCTCAACTGAATTTTTCATTGAAGAGAATAATGGTTCCTACATTCCAGTAATGCCAAGCTCATTTAATAGCGTCTGGCAGTTGAGAATGCAATTTCTAACTTTGTAGAAAGGGGGGGGTCTTAAATTTTTTAAATCTAATTTATGAAACTGTAGATGACTGGCATAGCTCATTAGTAAGGCATGATATACATTACAAGATATATGGTTTCATTGTTTATAACATGGAACATAAAAGGAGAATTGATAGATTGATTTGTTTTTTGTTTTGTTTTTTTACAGCTTATCAACCTTTTGCATGTTATTTAAAGCCAGGAAATATTTTTAAATTGGAAGAATATTTAGGGGATAATAAGGAGTTACTGATATAAGTACTATTTAATCCATATAGAAGAGGTGGATTCATGCCTTTCTCAAGGGTATTTACACGAAAGGGAATATAAAGAACCCAACTGGAATTGGAGTTCCAATTCCATGTTGTTATCCATTACACATCCCAAACATCCCAGCTTACAGCATCTGATGTTCTGAAGCAGTTACCCATCTAGGTACTAACCAGGGCCGACATTGCTTAATTTCAGTGATCTTATGAGAACCAGTGTTTCAATGTGATATGGCTGCAAGCCCATAAAAGGAGAAAGTAAGAAGTGTTGACAGACATGATACCTAAAGTGGGTGAAAAAGAATTGGGGAGTATGTGCTGAATATGAAAAAAAAATATCAAAGATGCAGGTATTGGAATAAATAAAGAACTGGTTTCAGGTATGCACTTTGGTTTTGATTGTAACAGGAAACTTTTGTCTTACTGCTATTTGTTCTACACATATGCATATTAATGCACAAAGTTTTTAACATTATTTGCTAGATTCCTGTCTCTTTATATTTGGTGGCTAAACTTTATCAGTTACAACCAGTAAAATTCATTTAGTACTAAAATACTTTTTTTTTTAAAAGAATTGTCTTCATCTTTTTTATCTTTTAAGACATAGGCAATCATGTCTCTCCACTGATACTTTTTTCTTTATCTACAAAGAAAAGAAAGATATTGAAGTGGTTACAAGTTACTTTCTCTTCTTGAAATTAAATATCCTTCTTCTAGACTGGCTGCCACACAAGTCTAGATAACCCAGTCTGCCTTTATTTAACCCAAAATTGGGTTACCAGAAGATTGATTTATGCCATTACTAAGGGCATTAGTGCAAAAATGATGCAACAGACTAAGTCAGAATTTGAACTCTGCTAACAACTTCAATTGTCTGTGATAATAACTGTTATATTACCTGCACATACCTATTTGTCTTACTAGCTCTAAATAGCTATATTGTTCATGATGATAGATAAACATATAGATACATATGTATATATAGTAATTTTGATATAAACTTCGTATAATGCAAGAACAAATACAGTGGATTTGACTGTTGCACTAATCCTTCAAGTGGATAAGGTTTGCCTGTCTAGAAAATCAGCATTTAAAATTTTGGCTTTTTACCTAGGCTTGAACCTATAACAGTATGGTCAATAGTAAGTTCACATCTATTTCAGTCAAAAGTCAGGCCATGTTAAATCTTTATTTTCTTACTATAACCTTATAACCTAAACTCTTTTATCCATTTATGAGTCATAAAAATAATCTACAATATTTTTCCTATTTTTTTTTTTTAAAAGAGTTTTTTTTGCCTTTCTTTATGGCATATTTTGATTGAGCAATTTACTTTACAGACAGAAAGATATAAAGTGAATTGCAGCATTTTTGCTGTAGGAAAAGAAGTGGAGCTAAATTCATTCTCCTTAATTCTAATTTTGTTCCAGTCATTGTTATAAATGTATAATAAAACTTATATATATATATATAATATTAAACAAGCTTTATTGGAAAAATTCAATAAAAACATTAAACAGGCCTTATCATTTTAATTTAATAAAACTACTTTTAAATTAATTCTCATTTTGTGTATGTGTGTATATATATATATATATATATATATATATATATATATAATATAAAGAACAAAGGGAGTTAAATAGACTGAAAGATAGATTCTACATTTTTGCTGTAAGAGGTTTTACTGATTATATATATATATATATATATATATATATATATATATATATATGTGTGTGTGTGTGTGTGTGTGTGTGTGTGTGTGTTTTGAACAATAAAAAATATTGAGAAATTAAAGAAAAAATTAAAATTTTCAGACACACTGGGTTGTGTATTAATATTTTTTTGTTTTATTATTTCAATTAGATTCCTCAACTAGTATCAGCCGACATGGCCATCATCAGGAGAACAAAATTTTCTACTTCTTAGTAGCAGTGAACTACAGGAAGTGTCCCAAGAAATACATAATGAAATATTTTGAAATTTAAGTAAAAAATTATATTAACATAAAAGTTACCTTTGACAAAACAACACATTCAGTGCATTAGTTGCCCATTATAATAGATCCAACCCCAGTTTTGATTAAAATAGAAAATAATTTAAGATAAAATTGTATTGAAAATGTACTAATTTCAAAATCCACATCCATGATCATACAACATATCTCCTTTCTTCACAAAACTATTGCCAATACAATGAAGGATAATTATAAACAATACTGATGAAAGTAAAAGCAATAATCAACTGAATCAGATTGACTAAGCTAAAAATCTTCATACACTGGACATGAAAATTTAGACTTAAAAACACAATGTTTCTGTATTTTTAACATTTTAATGTAAACTGTAACTTGTGCTTGTTGTATTTTCTCCCCAGTCTTTATATATATATTCCATCAAGAGAGCTGTTATCAGTCTGAAGAAGTTCTTTCCTTTTTGGAACAAAACACATCATTTATAAATTTTAATTTTATTCATTTTCTAACATACTGTTTATTTTATATATATATATATATATATAATTGAACTGATATGAGTTTGTGACACAGGGTTTCATGCTCTCTGCAATCATCAGACAAACTGATTCATTTTTTAAATTTTATTTAATACACCAACAAATATATATCCTATCCACCTGAATAAATTATTATTTCACATGTTAATGAGCTCCTTGACATTCTACAACATTCATCATTCTCAGCCACTTTTAACATTTTACTTTAACATGCAGTTTTTATTGCTTACCATATTTTATTATGCAAATCAATGTTTTTCCAATAAAACTGGTAATAAACAACCTATGTTAGTAAAATTTTCATGGAATACTTATATTTCAGCTGTAAATATCTTTTTATAAGAAACATTAACAGAAACTTATTTGGTGATATGAGATTTTATTATGTAACTAAATAGTTGTTCATCATATTGTATATAAAGACATTTAATAACAGTTATTGATAATTATTTTTAATTTCAGAAATATATTGTCATGTAGTGTAAGAAAGATAAAATCTTAAAAGAAAAATAACATATTGTCAAGATATAGAGTGATGGTAGCACAACATTGAAAATTGCATGAAAGTTGAACAGTGATCACGGAATGATAATAAAAATTGAAAACAGCAAAAACAAAAAAAAACTGGTTTTAAGAATGTTACAAAAAAAAAAAAAAGAAATGTCAGAAAAATTAGAAGTGTAATAAAGTGGATTCTTCTGGGCCTTGTCCCTTCAAAATGTAGAAAGCCATGGCTCTCCACAACTTCCTAACCTCTAGAAATGTTTGTCTTTTCACTATCCCTCCCATTCCCTGTACTGCCATCCATTTACACAAGCTCATTAGGTAGGTCACTTGCTGTTTCCAGTCTTACTTTCAATGTCTTATGAGTGTCAAATTTTCCACACCTTCTTTCCTTATCATCATAGAAAATTTAAGTGTCTCTTTCTGATTTTAAGTGCATGTGTCCTTTTTGTTTCTGCTTTCCTTAAAACTTCCTCATTGCTCACACGATCATTCCATTGGATTCTCAACATTCTTCTGTAGAATGACACTGTTGCCTGAAATCTTATCTGTGGGGAAACTGTCCAGTATTCATTGCCATATAGGAGGATTATTTTTATATAGCAGTTAAGCATTGTTTTCTTTGTTTCTATGGATATTTTGTGTTTCTTTATTTTTGGGAAGTGATCTTTTGCTATTCTAATGTGCCTCAGCAACTATACTATTAGGTATATATTTATTTACTATGTGATAAACAACCTTCCAATTGTATAAGAAAACCTCATGTCACCAAATAAATCATTGAAAATATTTCTATCAAAAAACAGATATTATAAATTAAATTCAGAGGATATATTTATCTTATATCTTGAGAATTTTACTAAAATTGGTTGGTTAATGCATATATGATTGTGAAAATTTTGACTTGCATAATCTTACAGTGTATTGACTAACTAAAATTAGAAATATACTAAAATATAGGAGTAAAATAAAATTACATTGAGTAAAAGGTATATAGAATATATAATAATATAGATAGATGATCAGATTGATTGATCAGATTGATTGATTAAATTAAAGATGAATTTAGAGCTTCATAGAAGTTTAGATAAAATAGAGAATTTTTTTCTGTAGATTTTTTTTTAATCTTTTCAAACAAGTTTTTAAACATAATTTCTAGCTTTCTACTTTTGGTTTTTCCTATACATTCTACTTTCATAAATTATTATTAAAATAAATTTTATCCCAATATGGTCACAATTTTGCTATACAAAATATGGAATAATTATTAAGGATAATTCATTTTTTTTTTTTTTCAAGTTTTTTCCTTTTAATATTTGTTTGAGAGATATTAATATAAAAGAAACTACTCTTTTAATGTTTCATAAAATTTATTAGCTTGCAATTAAATATCAAGGAGTAATATAAAATATATTTAATATTAAAGATATCTAGTCACTAGAAAATTGTGATAGACACTGAAAAATTTGTGGCTATCCTCAAAACCCTTCCCCACCAAATTTTGATGTTTTATCATTTGGTTAGATTTTAAGAAGTGGAACATGCAGGTAACTTTTCAGCACCCTCTCATATATATATATATATATATATATATATATATATATATATATATATATATATAATAAGCTTTCTAATTTTTAAAGTAAGTAACCTTCCATGACAAGAATCTCTTTATGGGTTTTATTTAATTTCTATCCAAAAAGAAATTTCTAATTGCATTTGATATCATTTAAAACAGACATTTTTGGCCACTGTTGGTTTTATTAGCTGGAGATTTGTGATTTTTTTCTATTGTTATTTGCTGTTTTGTTTTTGTATTTTGTTGTACACTTCCTTGTTGGCCATTGTTGATAGATGTTAACCGTGTGTTATTTGGGTGATTAAAATTCAAAGAACAACAAAAGAAAGAACCTTTTTTGTCATTTTTAGGTACTTTTTAAATTTGATATTTTTCTTTCTTTCAATTCTGATCTCTCCTAACACTTTGTTAATCCTTCTCTTTTTTTCTTATTTTTTTAATCTTCCTTTTCATTTTTCTTTCTCTCTCTTCTTTCCATTTTACTTCTACTCTTGTTCAAATTTGCTCCTTAATATTCTCCTACTTTCTTTCTGCCTCTTATTTGCCCTTTTTTATTTCTTGTATATAATTTCCTTTAATTTTTATTTTTCTTCACTGTTTCCTCCTCCTCCTCCTTCTTTTTAATATCTGGTCATATGACCA